CATTCGGCAAGGTACAGGATAGTTCTAGAAAACAGAGGGCGTGAGAATAGTCACGTGATCTCGCTGACGCAACAATATGAATCCATATACATTAACGGTATTTGTAACCTTTCCCAAAACAATCAATACCTTGACGTACCTGTATCTCTTTTCCCCAAATATGAATCAATGCACATAGATCTTACTTGTAACTCTTTTTCCAAAATACGAATCCATAAATGTAGACTGTATCTGTAACCTTTTTTCCCAAAATGTTTATCGAAACATAGATTATATTTGTAATCCTTTTCACAAAATATTAATCCGTAAATGTAACTGGTATCTCTAATCCTTTACCCTAAATAAGCATGTCTACACATAACTCCTTCACTTATTTACCCTATTCATACAGTCATATACTTAATAGCATTATGTCGGTTTTGTTTTTATGTCAAGGTTAAAGACAGGCTGCTAACGGAAACATTATAAAGTTGCAGAACTTTTTTTACGCTATCTTAGTTCATTTTGATACATGAAAAGCTTACTTTCTTAATGTAGTGTTTGTTTTTTAATTCCACTTCAAATGATATCAGTTTCAATAGCTTTTTCTTTATGATTATACTTGTGTTCGTAATTAATCATTTTTTTTTCATATTTAACTTTTAGAGCTCTGAGCTCTTGAGACTATGAAGCAGTTAAAGACAACCATATCTTGCTCGAACACAATAGAAATTTTCCTCAAGTTACTTTCGAAGTCCTTGGGGATTAAAAGCTCAAATTACACTTATTGTCCGTTGACCAACATTTTTTTCCGTCGATGGAGGATTGAGATCAATTAAGCAATTAAACAAGTAATTGATTAAGCCAGATCAATACTGTTCCCTGATTTGTTTTTTGGTAACGTACAAGACTAAGGATGGGACCTGCCGTCATTAAAGAGAGTGGTCTGTCACCCCTCTCCCCCTTCTCTCAATGTCATTAATCAAATGAAATGAGAAAAGATAATTTTAAACTGAAGCTGTTGTTATATTCCTTCACTAATGCTAGTGTTACAGAGACTACAGAGTTTCCAAAAACACCGTAATGTTTTCACTACTCGAAATCACTTTTCAAAGAAAAACAGAACGCGATTAAAAATGCGGAAAAGATTTCCTGACAAAAATGTACAAACAAAGACAACGTCAATTTAGATATCAGGATATGGAAAGTTCGGCCTTGATGTACGCGTTTTGTGGCTACTTTACGTAAACACCCCGGTAGCAAAGAGGCAAATCTGCGTACTCATAACGCTAGAAGTTGGATTTCGATACCCATGGTGTGCACAACACAGATGACCCATTGTGTAGCTGTGCGTTTAACTACAAACAAACAATTCACGTGAACAGGTTGAAGTTAGGACGAATGACGTCGAGGTTTTGAGAGAACACCTGGACTTCCTTAAAATCCTAATCTTATGGCTGTGTGTAAGAAAGTCTAACTTAGAACTTGAGTAAATGATACAGTGTTTAATCATTCTTACCCTAATTCTATTGTGACGTAAATAAAATTGATGACAATGTTACTCCTCACCAACTTTTAACCCAGTCCATATTGCCACAGTTGTTGTTCAAGTGGTTTGCTAATATGAATAGCATCTACCCTATTCCGTCCATGCTCGCGAGACCTGGTATTATTAACCAAAACACCTCGTCGGCTAAAGATAATAACAGATGGGGATGTGCTTAAAATGTTATTATTCGATTCTTCTTCGATCGTATCAATGATTCTAAGTGTAACTAAGGTACCTGTACAAATCTAGGTATAACGTTTAAAAAATATTTCTCTTTATACAGGGATAAAAACACACAAACTCCGTTTAAAATTTAACAAATTTACTTTGTTATCACAAGTTGAAAATCAAGTTTTAGTGATCTATTGCGATGAAGAAAATTGGTGAATGTTTTTATTTAACTTTATTTAAATAAAGTAACAAGGGCACTAATAGAGAACCTCCAGGTGTCAAAACATGAAGTGTTTATCTGTTTTCAGGTGATCAAGATGCTAGTAGCAGTGGTTGTTTTGTTCATCATGTGTTGGGCTCCAATCCTTATCACTAACGTCTTGACTGCTTTCGGCTACATTCACCACCTGAATTATGGGTATTTGAAAGCACTTCGAACCGCCTTTCATCTCCTGTCTTACTTCAACAGTTGCATCAACCCTTGTGTATACGGGTTCATGTCTCAGAACTTTCGGAGCAGCTTCAAAAGCGCTTTACGCACGTGCTTGTGTGCAGGGAAAAGGCAGCGAGTTCGAGGCCTGTCGTCTCTCAGCCGCACGCGCACCACATCGATAAGTTACGGCCGGTCGACAGCAATAGCTAATGACGGGTTTTGAAAAGGTCATAATGGGATGCCATCCCTCACAGAGTAAACAAGGCTTGGATTGATTCCTGATTAATGTAATGTTCATCCCAGTTTCGAATGAATAGATACGTACTTCCTGCGAGGTTTTTCTTCGTAGATTGGAAGACAGAAGCTATTGTAAGCGTTCCTTCTAAATCAATAAAAAACACAACAACAACAACAAAAAAACCAACCTACATTAATTTTTACTTATTGGTTGAGAAAACTGTCACATGGCTCAAAAACTAAATTAAAAAAAAAGAGATGAAGGAGAGCCCACGGTAACATTGTAGTCCTTTAATTTATTTCTGTGTTACTAGTCAAATATTAAATCTTCATCTTTGCGAATTTACTGGAAACTTATTTTAAATTCCAGAATTTTCCGTAGCTTTCCGGAAATGATGTATATATCTATATAATCTGAACGTTGTTCAAAGCTTTGAATACTTAATTGAACTTTTTGAAGTTGGAAGACAAGAGAGACAGCTTTGGTGACCTAGATCAGTGAAAACCGAGATGTATTAGAATCTTGTTTAAAAAGTTTTTATTATTTTTTTTAAGAATTTAGCGATAGATAATTTTATGATTTATTTATTTTAGAGAAGAAGAAGAAGAAGAAAGGCATAAAAAGTATACAATTCTAGTGTTAAAGGTAAATATGACTCATGGAACTTTCAATAATACATACTAATAAGAACGATATAATCCAAAATAAGCCAATATAATGAAAGTAAGTATCCAGACTTACAAAGCTAAAATCCGGGGTTCAGTTTCCTGCGGAGGACATAGCGTAGGTAGCTTATCGTTCAGCTTTGCGCTGTAAAAACAACAATAACGAAACTAAATGTAAGTTTTAATGGACGTAGAAGCTAAAATACTAACAGATATAAACTTTATTTAAAGCATCTCCAGAAATATATATAAATAATATAATACGTTAGACATTATTTATTTCTATTTAAGTGTAAAGATACACTATGGGCTATGAGTGGTATGCCCATCATAGGTATCGAAACCTGATTTTTGTGTAAAAGCCTAGAAGGTTACCGCTGACCCACTACAATACCACATTAAGCATGATAGGAAACGTACAAATTAAAGATTAATCTATAAAAGTTTACTTATACATTTACTAATTTTCAAAGGTTAAAACACAATATTACTTTCTTAATGCTTTAAAATACAAACTAACAGCATAAACGTTATGTGTAGTAATGTTAATTTCTGATAGAGATATACAGACTGCTATGTGTAGTAATGTTAATTACTGGTAGAGATATACAGGCTGCCACCTGAAAACAAAACTTCGTGAAAGTATTGAATATGTGGTGTTTTTTTTCAAATTCAATAAACTAGAGAGTATACATACTGTCATATGTAGTAATGTTAATAGCTAGTAGAGAATACAGGCTGTCATATGTAGTGATGTTAATAGCTAGTACAGTATACAGGCTGTCATATGTAGTAATGTTAATAGCTAGTAGAGTATACAGATTATCATATGTAGTAATGTTAATAGCTAGTAGAGTATGCAGGCTGCCATATGTAGTAATGCTACTTCCTAGTAGAGTATATAGGCTGTCATATGTTATAATGTTAATAGCTAGTAGAGATATACAGGCTGCAATATGTAGTAATGTTAATTTTTGGTAGAAATGTAAAAGTTGCTATATATAGTAATGTTAATTTCTGATAGAGATATACAGGCTGCTATATGCAGTAATGTTAATTTCTGGTAGAGATTTACAGGCTGCTATTAACTTTACTACATATGGCAGCCTGCATACTCTACTAGCTATTAACATTACTACATATGATAATCTGTATACTCTACTAGCTATTAACATTACTACATATGGCAGCCTGTATACTGTACTAGCTATTAACATTACTACATATGACAGCCTGTATTCTCTACTAGCTATTAACATTACTACATATGACAGCCTGTATTCTCTACTAGCTATTAACATTACTACATATGACAGCCTGTATTCTCTACTAGCTATTAACATTACTACGTATGACAGTCTGTATACTCTACTAGCTATTAACATTACTACATATGACAGTCTGTATACTCTACTAGCTATTAACATTACCACATATGGCAGCCTGTATACTCTACTAGGAAATAGTATTACAACATATGGCAGCCTGTATTCTCTACTAGCTATTAACATTACTACATATGATATTATGTACCACAACAGTTTTATTTTCACTACATCGTTTATATCATACTTTTTATATAGATCAAAATAATCTATTTGGTATCATATGCTGTTGTTGGGTGCTGACATTCCTACATTTTATCACTCTATATTCCATATTAGTCTTAACGAAGTCGTTGTATGTGGGAATTAGTTTCATAATTGAATATTAATAAGTCTCCCGAATTCCTACTGTTAAGCTACGGCCATTTTCAAAAGACTGTAGACGACGGCCATTTTTGTTTTAAAATTCAAGTTTATTGCGTTATTCATTCACGATAACTATTACCTCCACTAACGAAGGTTGACGGAGGTTATGTTTCCACCCCTCTGTGTGTGTGTGTTTGTTTGTCAGCAAAATTTCTCGAAAACAGCCGAATGGATTTGGACGAAAGTTCGTATACATTTGGATTATGGCCCAAATTAGAAGTGATTAGTTTTTAGGGGGTAAAAGTCACAGCAAGGTCACGAAAATAAAAAAAATCCCTATTTGTTAACATAGGGACCGATTTTCACGCTATTTGTGCTCTATAACTCAGTCAAAAATGATTGGATTTTGGATGAAACTTGGTGAACATATGTTGTATATTATTCCTCATTGTCCTACCAAAAATTGTCCGTGTCTGTTGATGGCAACGGACACACAGACATATTTTCGTGTTTTTGAGAGCCGAATATCATCAACGTCGGGTGGCGGAGGTGTGCACTCTACTGAGTGCTCCTGTAGTTAATCAAGTGATCAGAGTTCTTTAAATTTTAAGTATCACCCTGAGAAATATTTAAAGAAGACTTGTGTATTTTTGAATATTTAAGTAGTTAGTGTACAGTATATCATTGTCATGAATGTTGTAACAAATCGTGTTTATTACTAATGATTTTCTAGTGCGGGCAGATGGCGCCCTAGATCGTCTATGATTCTTTTTTAAAATGCGCTTGTGAACATCACTCAGGGTGGTGCAGGAAGATGAGCATTTAACGTGTATTAAAAGTTAAACTTAGGCATTCCATTTTCAATACTAAACAGAAAATGCGCATTATAGTATTTGTGTATTTCTTGCTTTCTTATTGGAAATCGCTGGTCCTTGGCATGGCCTGGTGGTTAGGACGCTCGACTCGCAATCTGTAAGGTTGTGGGTTCGAATCCCATCACCGAACTTGCTCGTCCTTTCAGCCGTGGGAGCATTATAAATAATTATTCGATTAGAGTAGCCCAAGAGTTGGCAGTGGGTGGCCTTTACTAGCCGTCTTCCCTCTATCCTATCACTGCTAACTTAGGGACGACTATCACAGATAGCCCTCGAGTAACAATGCGCAAAATTCAACTAACAACCAACAAAACTTTGAAGTCGTGGCCTAGTGGTTAGCGTGCTCGGACTATGAATTCGAGGGTTTGAGGCCACTTGCCGAAAAAACGAGCTCTTCACTTTGGGGCCATACTTCAAAGAGTAACAGTCGAATGCCCCTATTCTGTCATATAAGAGTAACCCGAGTGACGGTGAGTACTGTTCAGTAGACACCTTCTCTCCAGTCTATAACTGATATGCGAAAAGGACACATTGTATGACTTTGAATAAAAATTCTGAAATAAAAATAAAAGTAAGAAAAAAATCTTTTTTTTTAAGACAATGGTTACACGAGTTGATTTGAATAGTCCGATACTTACATAGAAAGAAACAAAATGTAGATTGATATCTTATGTTGTAGCCCATCGTCGTATGCGAAATATAAGCATATATTTCCTCAAATGAGAGAAATCCAATATAACAAGAAAGGAAAACAAAAACTGGACGTGTAAAACTAAATTTGTTTATGTTCAACTGAATAATTATGTTCCATAAATTGGAATAAACTCCTTGCAAGTAGACAGGCAGAGCAAAGAGTTGGTAAATTTTATACAAATTTCTCCTAAAATAAAAACAACTATTTAAGCTACTCCGAAAAGATAATATTGTCAATTTATTCAAGAGGTTTACTCATGTCAGATGCTATTAAGATGAAAATGTCTGAGATCCTATCCTATAGATTTAGTACTTTCTCCCTAGGTGTTTTTATTAAACCTTCCGTATTTTTGTCTTTTCGTAAATTTACTAAGACGTTTGGTTAACATAACTAGAAGAAGGACAGATGGGTAGCGAACTTATCCTGCTGTGTGTGCGTGTTTTAAAGAAAATTACTGTTCTGGAAATGAGTTTCCGGAAGTACAGACATTATTGTTTTCTAGCCGACCTGTTTCTATCTATAATCTCGTAACATCGCAACTGTGACACCTGTAACCGAAGTTACAATAGTATTTGCTGCTATTATTAGCTCCTGCGTTATTCATATAAAACAGTTAAGAGCTGGAAAAAAGTTAAAGTTATGGGGCCCTAAAATGCCTCCCCCATCTAAATTCCAAAATAAAGCGACTGTTGCAACTAGGATTACGAACTCATGAAAATTTTGAAGTAGGTCTTTTTTGTAAGAGGCCGTCCATAAAGGACATCACACGATTTAGGCCACTTTTTGACCCCTCCCCCCTTGTCACGCTTGGTCACATGGATGGTCCCGAACCGAAGTAAATTAACACTTCTACAACAGTTGTAAAATATAAACTCGTTGTATTTATAAGTAGGACAGTTGGCAACCGTAGTTGCAACACTCCTCCAAGAATTCGTATTTCGATACATGCTGTGGGCAGAGTATGGATGGTGCTTAATAACAAACATACATTAATAAATAGCCTCGCTCACAAAGGCCAGTCAAATAAAATTAACATCACACGTTGGAAAGGTAAAATGAAACCTAGTTAGCGTGTATTTTTGTATATATAACATAGACGTCGGAACTTGAGGAAGTGGTGGGAGCACATGCTCCTCCAATAGTTTGTTGACAACTATTTTTTATTTAGTCTTTGCTAGCCGAAATGAACAAGACTACAGTTCTTTAGCAAATTATAAAC